CCCACACACACACGTTCACCCACACACACACATACATGCGCGCACACACTCACCCACACACACACATGCATGCACACATTCACCCACGCCCACACACACATGCACACACACTCACCCACACACACACACACACACACATGCGCTCACCCACACACACACATACACGTGCTCACCCACACACACACATTCACAGACACACACAAAGTACACATACACACACGCACACAAACATACACATACATGCACACACAAAAATACACACACACACATCCACAGACACATACACACACAAATACACACACACATCCACAGACACACACACAAATATACAGACACACACATAAATACACACACACACACACACTCACATCCACAGGCATACAGACATGCATACATGCACACATCCACAGACACACAGATATGCATACACACACACACAGATATGCACACACACGTACACACATCCACAGTCACACACACAGAGACACACACATGTACACATGTATCCACAGACACACTTTTGCTTTGGGGTTTCATCTATAAAAACAGAGATGTGCATTGCCTGTTGGAAAGAAACAAACATGCACCATGCAAGGGCTGTACTTGGGAGGAGTCAGTAGATGTCACTGCATTCAGGCTGTCCTGGAGGAGGTTGTGATAGGAAAGGCTCAACTGGGAACTGTGTGGTGCACCTTAGTAAGCTGTCATGGTCAGCTTATTTAAAAGTGAAATAAACAGTGAGTTAGGGAAATGCAATGCAGCTATCAATGCTGCATGTTATCATGATGAAATCAGAGTGTAGCCACTTACTTCAAATATTTCTGGATATTGAATCCATATGCCATCAGTTATCTCCATTAATCCACCAACCAGTTGATGCCATGACTATCAGGGGAAATACAGGACTGCACTTTCTGCACCAAGATCGGAGATTGAGGAAACTTATATACAAAATGGGCCAGTAGGAGTACTTGACTGCCAGCTCCAATGAGCCAGCTGGAAGCTTAGAGTGTTACCATGCTTCTCCAACAGAGGCAAAGCAGGAGTGTCCAATGAAGAAAGGAAATAAGTCATTTTTTTAGTGCTTTTCATGACCCCAGAAGCCCAACAGCCCTTTCCAACCAATAAAGTATTTCTGAAGTATAGTCACAATTGTAACTGTGAGGAATTCAGGAGACCTAATCATCTTTAGTCTTTGGGAAATTAAAATATATCATTTTTTGTTGCAGCAGCCATTTTGGAATGTCTCCTAGTCTCACAACTCCACATTATTTCTCTGTCTTACCATATAACTACAGGAGGGTCTGCGTAAAAAGTCACTGTCCCACATATATCCTGGTCATGTTTTCAAATCCAGCCTTGTGGATGAAGTCCAGAAACCCACCAGCACCCTAAATGATCTGACTTCCAGATGACAGCACAAATTGGGCCTTACCATTAAAATTCAAGTGCCTGCTGTGATGAGCAGGCTATTTTTACTGCAGTAAAATCCATTTGCTATCTTCCTATATGCTGTGAAATTAGTTGTAGTTCTGTGTTTCAAGCTGGAAACTGTGGACAGTTAGTTAGCCAGAGGTTCTAACATTGAGGACAGAATGTTCTATATTGGTTATGTTCGATTCTGCCTAATAAAAGTGGTGTAACCTGTGGAAATGTTTTAATATGTCACCCAAAACATTTCAAGGGTCAAAATGCTGGACAATTCAAGGGTCATTCAACAGAAATTCAAGAGTCAGTTTTAGACAGAAAAAGAGGGCCAGCTGAAAAGGGTGGCTCCATACAGCCAAAAAGCATTTGTTAGTACAGATATGCTGAAGGCTCCTGGAAGACCCAAGGCCTATTTCATGTAGCTGAGAGTTAGGGCTTGAGGAAACCTGCAAACAGAATATGCTTGGTGCAGTTCAAGTAGCTGGAGTTCAGAGAAACCCAGGACAGTGCCAACTTAGTGAAGTTAACTGTCTGTGAAAGAATAGGAATAGTCTCAGTAATTCAAGGTCGGAGTGTGTCCTGTGGAACACAGTCTCACAGTAGAAGAGATCAAACCACTGGGAAGTGAACATTTTTTAAGGAGGTCTAGTTCAGAGCAGCTTTCGAGGTAATTCTGAGACTATATCTTCAAAAGTGAAGAATTTAGAACGCCTTGTGAAAAAAGCAAAGTTTTAATGAATTTTGGTGACCTGGTGTGGTTAAAATCGGGATGGGTTGCTGAGAATGCATGAAAACTGACTTGGCTACATCTGCTATTTGATGTGTACTGTTGGAGTGTTTGGCCACAGTTTACCTGTTAATTCATATTTTATCTCATGTTAATTATAGAATACAAACAACACATATATTTGTTTGTTCAAAACATATATTTGTTTGTTCAAAACTAGAATCATGTAACTTTAATAGTCATAGCAAGAACCTGGAATTTCAAACTTTATCTACTTGAAACAAAAAAGTTACTGGTCTCGGAGTGTAAATTTGGCACTCTCATCGGGACTCATAATATAAACTTGGCAGTTTTGCCCAGGATCATAATATGCCTATCCCCATGTGAAAAGTACAGTCGTCCCTTCAAGAAATCTACCTGAAGTACACATGAGGCATATTCCAATCAAAACAAGTGATGTTTGGCCACAGCCTGGGACTGCAGACATACCAAGCAATCCACAGCCTGTTCTGGGAAGCTCACTCAGTGATTCTGTCTGTTTCCCAGCAGAGCAGGCCACCCATAGATATGAAGAGCAATAATGAAAATCAACAGAACATCCACTATGCAAGGCATTCCATCCAGACCCTGAAATTAAGCGTAAAGACGTTGCCTAATCATTATGTAGTACATCAATCACATCAAGGCACTTTGATGTCTCCACGCATTGGAATGTCAACTCTTCAATGGCTAATTTCATCAAATGTATACCTGATTGCACGTTTTTGAAAATTCATTCAGAAAGTGATTGCAATCATTACTATCTCTTTCCAAAAGTAATAGATAAAATGATGGAAAGAAATGGGTTCAGTCACCTGGGATTGTATACAATAGTCAAGAATTGTATTCAGGTTTGGTGGCAAGCTCAACAAAAACCATCATTCTCTTAAGGTGGTATCCCACCCATTGAAAGGCAGCAACTCACAGCTGCCAAGACTATAGTAAGTACATCCTTTCCCTCACCCCAGTCCTAACTAATTTCTACAAATCAAGAGCGAAGAATTTGCCTCAACCTATGGCCTGCATTAAATAAAAGTAATAATAATTGAAACTGTTTGTTATTCATCCCAATGGTTTGAGCTGAAGGGAAGACCATCAGTAATTGCAGATTTAATTTCCACTTCCATTTTTAGCAGCTGAAACTGAAAATAAATCAATGACAATTTCCATTAATGTTTTCACCTTTTATTTTCAATTCAACAAATGTATCTGACAGGTAATATAGGAAGAGACTGTAATGAAAGGAACTCTGCTTTGGCACATTATACTGTTTCAAATAAATAAACAGATTGTTTGTTTGTAATAATACTAAATAAATAACATAATTTACTCTCCAATAAATAGACGGTTTCACTGACACCGATGCATTGCATCAAATTGTTTCAGTCGGTCATGGTTGTCCAACACCAGAGGCAGGAAAGATGATTTTGTACAGTTATGTTTTTCAGAGGTAAATGTTTAAGTGCTTTTGGTTTAAAAATGAGAACATAAAGCAAGAGAACACAACACTCCACACACAATGCTCCTTTACCATTACAACATTGCCAAACAACATTTATTGTCCCTGCCTCCTTTTTAATAACGACCTGTGTCAACTGTGTAGTTTGTTTTCCACCTTTTTTTGTTGATGAAATCTCCTGCCAGGTCATAGCATCCATGTCAGTTAAGGGTCAATCATTAATCTGTGCCTCGATCCAGCACTCTACCTAAGGACGACCTCACTTCAAAAATATCTAACTTCAAAAGTCAAATAGAACTTCTCAATGCTAACTTTTCTCTTTCCCCCTCCTCTCTCTCTCTCTGCATTGTGACCATAAGACTGGATTAACACAGGAACTGTATCTCCATGAGTAAGTTTTGTGTTGTGTCCTCCACTTCTGATTGACCTGACCTAGCTCCCTGAAATAAAGTCTAACAGTTAGAAGTAATTAGTGGCTTGTTTACATTTCCAAATAGTTGTATGTTAAAAAGGTGATGATTGGGAAGGGACCATGTTAACTAATGTATGTAATGTATGTGAGTTTCTAGCTACTGCCTAATTATAAAAATAGAATTTTGGAATAGTTAGGGTAGATGCCAAAAGCATTGGTGCTGGGATCATTGTAGTTCTGTATCACAATACAAGGCATGGCTGCATGGGGTACAACATCAATGTTAATTTTAATTAGATTTTGCATAAAGCTGATTTGCTAGGAGGGCATGATTCTTCATGAACAACCTTGGAAATAGAGTGTTTTGGATGAAATGAATGTATTGTGGGTAATCCCAAAGTAGAGGAATTTCACTAAGTTAAGAATGTCAGTAGGTTAGGTTTGCAACTGGATAGTCCCAACTCTTTACATTGATACACTAACTTACAAGTTATATAATCATTTCACTTTATATTTTTCTGCTCTGCTGTTTTAGGAGTACAAATGAGCAAAACTTAGAAATTACAGGACTTGTCTTCCATTGAGATAAACAAGCCAAGTCTCAACCAGTTCCATTATTTCTAAATTTTATTGGTTTTTCCATTTGGGAAACTTTAGTTCAATGGACAAATTGGTGAAGGTTGGTGCAGAAAATGGGAGTTGGGAGGATCAATACTTTTGTGATGATATTATGCGAACCAAGGCGTGTTTACATATCATAGGCTAGAACCAGATGACGAACTCTGTGGCACTTCCAGTTAGTCAGGGAACATAATGAAGTCTAGTTAAGAATTAAATAAACAGTGGAAAACTACACTAAAACTTGTTAATTTTACATTTTAATAAAATGTTATGAACATTGGCATGAGCTCATTTCCTCCTAATATTTCTGGTAAATTTAGGAAACATTTAGGAGTTAGAGCTAGGGTCAAGTTTCTGGGGTTACATTACCTGTAACGGTTGTCCTGTTGGCAGAATCATTCCCCCCATGGACCTTCTGTAACATGGGAATGCCATACTCGAAATGACTACGGTCCATCTAGTTCACCTTCCTGGTAATGTATAATGTCTGGAGCATGCGTACTCTATCCTGAGTCCAAATATGATCATTCTTCAATGGAACATCTGCCCCTTTCATTCGTTATAATTTGTGTAATGAACTAGTGTTCAGAACTGTTGGTAGCACAATTGTAGCAGCAGTGGTTTAGATAGTTCCAGGACCACATTGTTGGTGGCACCAGTGTCAGTTGTGCAGGTGCTAGTGAGCAACATGTCGGGAATACTAGTACCAGGATTGGTGTAAATGGGAACTAGGTGCTGGTATCATAGGCTGCAACACAAACAATAAAGGAAATCAAGGATATTTATGAAAGAAAAATAAGCATTAGTATTAAACTGTGGAGGAAACATGTTGCTGGTTTGATGTAATGTGCAGTTTTAATGTGAAATGCAGACTTTCTGAATATGAGTCTCAGAAACTCTTGCAAAGATTCTGGATACTTTCCCTTCTTATTGTACTTACTGGCTCCATATCTTATCCCTGCCGTATGGGGTACAAGTAGATGCTAAATGCCCTCTTAACATAAAATGACTGGATTGAAATCATCCTGTGTGATTTTAATATTGAATATCAATGTTGATATCAATTTTGTTTGTCTGTTGTTCTAATGTAGCATAAACCCTGTAATGCCTTCATTAAAACTGAGGATGACAGAATTTCATAAGAACATGCAGCATTTCATGGGGGGTGGCAGTAAGCCATTTTCTCAAGCACGATTAAGCATGTGCAATAAATGCTGGCTTTGCCAGTGAACTTAAGAACAAAGAAAATATTCTTTATTAAAATCACACTGGATGATAATCAGACCGTAGAAAGTGTGGTGCTCACTGAGACAAATAGAGATTGTGGCTTGACAGAAATGAGAGGGACAGAGAGAACGGACAATGGAACCAGCACAGGTAGTGGAATTGAAAGGGCTGATTTAGTTTGCGGAAGACAAAGAGAATGAAGGTTACTGTTGTGTATCTACTGCTTTTGTCTCATACTATGAGTATACAAATAACCTAACTCATTATTTAGTCAGGTAACATTGCAGAATTCTGAATTTCAATCACATTTTTCATGCCTGTCAAGAATAACAGCTTGGTGGAATTTCACACCCTACATTCACTGAATGTTAATCAACTTTGGTTTGATCATTTTACAAGGGATTTAGCTGACTAGCAATGCAACAGTGCCACCGTGACCCAGTACAATCCTCTAATAATTTGTTTGATTTAATCCTTAAAACTTGATGGGATTCAGGTCATAATGATTTACAGGTGCCTGCTTATCAGCATCAGTCAGTCTGCTCGCTCTGGCACAGACTAACTAAGAGCATTAAAATTCTTCCCAGCAAGTTCAGGGAAGGAAGATCTCTTGAAGTTCTGCATCATTGGCCACTTAGATGAGAATCGTGGTTGCATTTTTAAAATATATATATATATACGTAAAATATATATGGGGGAGGAAGGTAAGAGGGAGAGAGAGGGTGAAGTTATTCAAAGCATCTTCCTTCTGCACAGACTGTGACCCTGGGATTACCATCCTGAATTGTGAAATCCATTGAGTCTGGTGAAAAGTACAAGAAAGTCAACTGCAAAACGAAACCCACATTCCCACTGACACAAGTCTGGCCATAGACTGCATTTTATAGCACATTTGGAAACAAAAGGCCACATAGTATGGCAAACAAAACTGTGTTGACAAGTTCTTTGATGAGCCTGTTACTTCTTGATGCACTCTAACTCTTCATCTCAAAGGGCTGGAGATTAATGATCCCTCCGCATCTTCAAGCTACTCATCTCCTCCTGTAGATATCTCGCCAAGAAATGACACTCTGACTGGGGCTCAGAGCCGAGCAAGGTCTGAAGGCTCCTGTTCATTGTGAGGAAGGGACATGTATGTTTGCATTGTGTGGTCTGTCCCTCAAACACAGCCACATTCCTTCGCTGAGAGTTGTCGAAGAGTGTAATAATGAAAGTTATCATCCAGGAAAGAGACATCATCGTCATAAAGCGTAGGCCGACAGCATGGCCGCGCTCGGACCTTATCCTTTTTAATTCGCTTTGAATTTCTCAAGGCTTTCAGAGTCAGGTCATAGTTTTTCTCTTCGGCATCACAAGATCCAGTACAATATCTGAAGCGCACAACCTCCTCTGAGACATGGGCGAACCCCAGATCACTGACAGTCACGTTGATCTCTTTCAAGGTACACCCTTTGGTCGCTCTTGATTTTGCTCTCTTACTTCTTAAAGCTTGTCGAGAATGAGTCCGACTCTTGTGCTTTGAATCTGGTGATCTTCTGTATCTTTGAATCAAGGCTCGGACCAGCTCCTTGGCCTCCTCATCAGTGTGGGTTTTAAATATGTTCTTATCTGAAAAAATAGTAAAGGGAGCTAGGTTATTACAGAATAGGAAGATTAACCTTCATTACTAAACAGTTCATCCTATCACTGTTATGTACCCTAGAAAAGTGATAGAAATTTGTATTAGACAATAGCACAAAGACTGCACCACATCAACTACCGGTTACACATACATCCAACCTGAATCCTGTGATACCAATCATTTTATTTTGAAATGTTAAGTTATAAGCATATACAAGGGATTAGCTATTCCTGTAGGTCACAATAGTACCGCGGATTTTCTAGCACAGGTTCAAAATACCCTCAGGGTTTGCAATGTAATATTGGCTTTCCAATGCCTTCTGTCAAGACTACTAATGTTTTTCAGCTCAGGTTTTTAGTATGACCCAATGCTAAGCTTTATTTCACCTCTTAAGGGAAAGTATTTGTTTTCTCGTATATTGGATATTTACTGCACCTGAAAGAATATAATCTTATAGAATCAGTGCTTAAATAATATTTCACTATCTTTGTGCCTCATGTACTTATCTTTCAAAAGCTGTTCAGCTGCCACTACAACCATTTACCAGAGTGCTGCTAAGGGCCATTTCCTCAGCACTCTGACTCTGACCTTCCTTCCAATACAGTTGCTACCAAATGCCACTTCTTTTTGTGTTCAATACTGTCTGCGTCGATGCTAATGAGATCCAGGAGTTAAGATTTCACATGTTGTGGAGTGCCTGGCAGAGCTAGTTCAGAGTTAGAGACCCATTTCCAGCCTGGATCTATCTGGACGATCAAAACTGTATCATACTTCTGATATCATAACAATGAAAGCATAAGGAATGTTGAAGAACAATTTCACCTTTTAATAATGTTTCTTCCACAGATCACATACAACGTAATTTACTATTTCCCCAACTTATTTGAATCACTAGGTATTGTCAAGTAAAATTTTTCACTTTGTACACTTCAGTTCTCACTAAAAAAAAACATAACCTGCTTTCACCAAGAGTATTTTTACAAACCTAATCATCAGAACAAGAACTGTTAGCAACCTTCACAAATATAAGCACCTATCTGAGCCTTTGAAAGAAAATTGTTAATTCCATGATGTTGTGCATGGTGAAGAACCAGAAGCATTTGAATGGAAGAAAGCCAATAACAATGTGAAATGCATTTCAGACCTGCAGCAGTCATAATGCCCCACTACTGATCAAGTTCAATCAAGACCAGTGCTTACAAATGAGCTGAATGTGGAAACATAACCAGGTTCTGGTACACCAGAGCGGAGTTCATGTCGAAAGGACAACATTGTAGAGTGTCAGAGGGACATCTACTGGAAGCCTATGGAGTCCTTCCTTAAATATGCAGATTGCGCTCTGTTGACTTCATTGAGACGTGAATGCTGTTTTAACTGGAGGTCTGTCTGGGTAATTGTTGTGTTTTCTCTGTCTGATGACAAGTGGGGATGGAACAAAGAAGCCTAGAAATGAGGAGGTCATTTATTTTGCATTGTTTCTTTGTTAGCTAAAAGACTACAACCATTTACCAGAGTGCTGCTAAGGGCCATTTCCTCAGCACTCTGACTCTGACCTTCCTTCCAATACCATTGCTACCAAATGCCACTTCTTTTTGTGTTCAAGACTGTCTGCGTCTATGCTGATGAGATCCAGGAGTTAAGATTTCTCATGTTGTGGAGTGCCTGGCAGTTTGCAGCAATGCAACAATCACAGCAATGCAACAATCACAGCATTGCAACAATCACA